TTCTACAGCCTGAACGCACGGACTTTTGTCCCCATGTTCGTAAGCGAGAGGATCAAACGGGTTGGGTGAAACGGAAACCAGGGGGTCAGAAACATTCTCAGAACTCCATATTGATCGGTCTTGGCCACAGAATCGTTGACCGATCTTTCCAAAGTCCAAGATTCTTGGCAAGTGAGGTTTGTAGAATGATCGAATGAAGGTCTTGAGGTACGTTCATGCCACCAATACCTAATATAAGATCAAGAAGTTAAGGCAAGCTTCCCGAGCATCACCAAGCATTGCTCAAGCAAGTCAGTCCTGGATTAGTTCGGCAAGGACGATACTATCCGGCTCCTCAAGGTTTCCCGAAATTAATACAGTAGAGCAATTCACACTTCGGCTGCATGATCTGGTCGACTTCTCAAGCCGAAGTATCGAGTGACTTCCGAAGATGGTAATCCTTAGCCACCGTTCTGAGTCGCCCCAGACTCGTATAAGGTCTCTGTGATTGTCCTTCACGCAAAGCATTTTTGACGTTCTAAACATATCTCTTCCTATAATTTGGATTAAATGATATCGACATGCTTTTCTTCGGCCCTCAAGTCAATCTAAGCATAGCTAGAAATAATATCGAGATCTTATCTGACGAGACAATCTTCTATACAGATCTGACAGTTCAAGTGAGATCTGTTTTGTTTGAGAGCCAAAAGTTTTGACCTTCTTCCTCCATTCAAGCTCTTTCGCTGAACACTGAAGTGTTAGACATCATGTGTGTTAGACATCATGTGTTTAATAGTCCATGGGGTCGGTGTCCCACTTGTATTTGCTTGCGACATTGATGGCCACGAATTTTGCGCCTATACCATGACAATTTCTACTAGTTCAGGCACTTCGTCGGCCATTATTGTTTCGATATCAAAAAGTGTGATCACTTCATTATCCTAGATAAGATGATTGAGGGTGCTATCCAGAGTCTTTGAATTCAAATTACGCCTACTCCCTATTTTGATATCACTGTTGTGATAGCTTGACCATGAATGACCTCGTGCTGACCCACTCTGATGGAGATGCTGCGAAGTGGGCCGGCGTTGGCACTGCTGCTGCTGCTCATAACAGTAATGGCTTCGATCTCTCGTCCAGCGACAACGTGGTCTTATCAGAGCACAATCGTCGTGAACCAAAATGACTTTGTCGCCGTCGCCTCGAGCACAGATCTGGTCATCACTAGAATGACTTGCTTCAGTGTGCAGTAAGTAAAACGTGAATATAATGAAAAAAATATCTGACTGGATGGACAAAGTTCATTTCTAGTTCTGTAAATTTGCTGGTAATATCCCTGGTGAGATTTAGACAGACAGCGTCACCATCCCAGGGGTGACTTTCGACAATATTTCTGCTGCAGCCACTTCGGATGCGTACAATCACTGCATCTTAAGTGAAAGCGGTAGTTGCTCAGACTTAAAGTTTGGTCGCTATCACAGGTGGGAGGAAATTAGCATTTGCCAGATACAGGATGCCTTCAGAGTGAGAAGACAGGAGAGGGCGGATCACAATGCTCGGCACAGTGTAAAACAAACGCTAACAGTTTTTGGTGCCATTGATATCTGATGACAGAAATATCACTGACGGTCATGCAGCCGTGCCGATTGTGGGGAAGTGAAGATCTTGTCAGGAATTGTCGCGACAAGTTGATTGTTTCGTCTGATTAGAATCTCAGACGTTGAGCCTCTTGGCAAGTTATTTTAGAAATACTTTTATCGTGAATAAGAGTCCACTTCCAACTTGATGCGCTTGTGATTCCTGTGTTTTAAACATGTGGAGAATGATTGAGATGTGTTCACGCTGTTTTGAGACTTGACAACGAATGAATATAGAAGTGATCAGCTGCCGTCTCGTCCGACCTCTTGTGAATGGATTCAGGTCCCCTAGGAACAGATTTTTCACGAGTAGTCCTCCACATGCTGTCTGTTGTCTTTGCATGGCATGGAAGCCCTGAACGCAAAACTTCAACAATTCACAGAACAATTCACAGAACAATTCACGAACAACAAGTCGAACTTATAATCTGGACACTTCATCAAACTTCTACGAGAGAGTCTATCAGAGTGAGACAGTACAGAATCGCTCGTTTTTATGTCAGGGCTTCCGCAGGCATTTTCAAGCTTACATTTGGGACGATTAGCCCTACGGACGCTCACGAACTTGGACGAAACAGACATAGTGGTACACAATAGGTCCAGTTGACGTTCGACTCCGAGTATGACACAGCCAAATTTCATATGTCTCAACAGGACCAATCAGAAACAGCGACTCACTTTCGACTCCAGCCACAAGCACAGAAGGAGAAAACAATGTTGTACAAAATTGCACCACCTTAGAGACTTAGAGAGCTCATGGAGCCTCAAACTTCCGATGATAGTAGGCCCGGAAGGGTGACATTTGTATTGACTCATATGTGAGATGGGAGCGGGAGCAGAGAGTATGAGGAAATTCAAATGGCAAAGCCAGCATAAAGGGATGCAAGTCGAAGCCGTGAGAAGGTGTCTCAGAGTTTTACTTTTGATCTCAGATTTGTTTAGACTTCTCGAATTCTCGATCGTTGCTCTAGGATTATAACGTTCCGTCGCAGAATACTTGATTGCAGCACAAATGAAGACGCGATATTGGAGCAAGATCTCGAGAGGCACAGACTATGGCCAACGAAACCATCATCCCCCCGAATATTAGCAAGGCTAATTGCCCGACAGAAATGGACGTAGACCACAAATGCCACAAAGAACCTGGGAACCGCACCGGAGCTCGAAGCACGTGATCTGTGAATGTTGGTCCACTGGTGGTCCGCATTTCAAGGTTGGTCAATGACAAAGACCGTCAAAGAGTGAAAGGTTACGCCTTGTGCATGTCATACAGGATGATCAGGAATCAGTCAGACTTGGGATGATATCAAGATATACTTGAGAATAGATGTCGCAAAATCCAATGGTTTCATGCAGTGACAGAGTGACACGGCAAAGCTAGTACCGTAGGCTCGCCAGATATTGTACGGTACCTAGCACAGCTCCAGCCGCCCATGGAACAAAGGCGACTCTCCTCCAACTCCCACAACCCCGAAAGAGGTTCACAATAGAGTCGCCACCCACAATGCTTTCATGAAGTGATTGCACCTCTATCGTCATTCGTGCCCTCATCATGCGTGTTTAGCTAGACGGACAACCACAAATGCCACCTCGGACGAACTCGCATTGACTTTCTTTCGCGGCGCCGTGAAACCCTCCTCGGAGATCATGGCTGGGCACAATAACCAAGAAGCTATCCTGCCGCTTGAGCAGGAGGATCCAAGTCGACATTCAGAAGGATCCGAATCCTCTGCATCGACGACGAGTCTGGTATTCGAGCGCATTGGTGAACGTGTTGAGGTAGAAGAGAAGTCGATGAATGGGAATGGGCGGAGGATGGTGACACCCAAGTTTCCACCGAGAGGTGACTCCTTGCCATACGCAGACGACGAGAACGACCCTCTCGATGATGAAGAGAAAGATGACTACGATCTCGAGAGTGGACCGTTCCTCCAGAAGGCGACAGACAAAACGGTAGACAAGAAGTTTCGCAGACTACTATGGGTCGTTGGAGGTGTCTTCATTGGGGCCTGGCTATTGGCATTGGTGCTATACTTGGGACACAAATCATACCAACATCCCTCTGACACTCCGCACGACCCTGCAGCGACTGCTGTTCGAGGAAGTGGAAAGAAGGTGACGCTGGACGAAGTCATGGGCGGTGCATGGCGAGTGCAGAAGCAAGGCATAAGCTGGATTCCGGGTGCGAATGGCGAGGACGGTCTTTTGCTCGAACGGGGTATGTCAGGGAAAGATTATCTCGTCGTCGAAGATATCAGAGGTTCTACTCCCGAGGCTGGAACATTGGAAAGCAAGACATTGATGAAGCAAGGATACTTTCAGGTTGGGGACCGCGGACTTACCCCCAGCTCAGTTTTCCCAAGCAAAGACCTGAAGAAGGTGCTCATTGCAACGGATGTGCAATCAAATTGGAGACACTCCTTCTATGCAAAGTACTGGATCTTTGATGTCGATTCGCAGTCTGCCCAGGCCTTGGACCCCGCAAATCCTGATGCCAAAATTCAGCTCGCAAGCTGGAGTCCTCAGAGCGATGCTGTTGTGTTCACAAGAGACCAGAACTTATATCTGCGAAAATTATCATCGAAAACGGTCACCCAAATCACAACAGACGGGGGCTCGAACTTGTTCTATGGTGTGCCCGACTGGGTCTACGAAGAGGAAGTCTTTGGAGGAAACAGTGCGACTTGGTGGGCAGAAGATGGAAAATACATTGCGTTCCTTCGTACGAACGAATCCGAAGTTCCTGAATATCCAATCCAATATTTCGTCTCTAGGCCAAGCGGTACACAGCCATTACCAGGAGAGGAAAACTACCCTGAAGTTAGAGAGATCAAATATCCTAAAGCCGGCGCACCAAATCCAAAGGTGAATCTTCAGTTCTACGATGTTGCCAAAGGTGATATCTTCGAGGTGAAGATCGAAGGTTCCTTCGCTCCCGACGACCTCCTCATCACCGAGGTCGTTTGGGCAGGCTCAACAGGGAAAGCTTTGATCCGCGAGACCAACAGAGAGAGCGATATCCTTCGGGTCGTCCTCGTTGATACGGTTACAAGAACCGGTAAGACTGTTCGCACTGAGGATGTCCAGAAACTTGATGGTGGGTGGTTTGAAGTATCCGAAAATACCAGATACGTTCCTGCAGATCCGGCGAATGGCCGCCCAGAAGATGGATATATTGACACCGTCATCCATGAGAACTACGATCACCTGGGATACTTCACACCGCTCGATAATCCAACCCCAGTCTTACTGACGTCTGGCAACTGGGAGGTCGTGAACGCTCCCTCTGCTGTGGATTTGAAGAACAACTTGGTATACTTCGTTTCGACGCAAGAATCTTCTATCCAGCGACATGTTTACAATGTATACTTGAACGGCTCTGATCCTATGCCATTGACCGATACCAGCAGCGAAGGCTATTATGGTGTATCATTCTCAAGTGGCGCGGGTTATGCGCTTCTCAACTATGATGGGCCAAACATACCATGGCAGAAGGTTATTAGCACACCTAGTAATACACAGAAATATGAGAATGTCATTGAGGAAAATCATGCCCTAGCGGACATGGCAAAGAAGCACGAATTGCCCATCAAGATATACTCGACGGTCAACATCGACGGCTACGATCTTAATGTCGTCGAACGAAGACCTCCTCATTTCAACGAGAAAAAACAGTATCCAGTTTTGTTCTACCTTTATGGTGGACCAGGGTCTCAGACAGTTACAAAGAGCTTCACCGTCGACTTTCAGTCATACATTGCTTCGAACCTTGGATACATCGTCGTCACTGTCGATGGACGAGGCACGGGCTTCATCGGACGAAAAGCTCGTACAATCATTCGTGGCAATCTTGGCTATTACGAGGCATACGATCAGATCGCGACTGCCAAGATCTGGGCCGCGAAGAAGTACGTAGATGCCTCACGAATGGCTATATGGGGCTGGTCGTACGGTGGATTCATGACTTTGAAAACCCTCGAGCAAGATGCTGGTCAGACATTCCACTACGGAATGGCTGTCGCTCCAGTCACAGACTGGAGATTCTACGATTCGATTTACACGGAGCGATACATGCACACGCCACAGCATAATCCTCAGGGATATGACAATTCGACGATCAACAACATGACAGCACTTCACCAGAATGTTAGATTCTTGCTCATGCATGGTGTTGCAGACGATAATGTACACATGCAGAATTCGTTAACGTTACTGGATAAATTAGATCTGGCTGGCGTTGAAAACTACGACGTGCATGTATTCCCGGACTCAGATCATGGTATCTACTTTCACAATGCGAATCGGATCGTCTATGATAGTAAGTAGGAGTTCTACGCTCTGCCAAGCATTCACTAACAATCCTCAGAACTGAATAATTGGCTGATAAACGCCTTCAATGGCGAATGGCTACGGACTGCTAATGCAGTACCTTTGTCGTCATCAGAGAAGAGAAAACGAACAGGCATAGAAGCTTGAAGAGATTTTCTATGTATTATCATAGCACTTAGCTGCCTTCTGGGGCATGGCGTGGAGGGATCATCACAGCATAGGAGCGATTTGTTACCAACACCAATGGTCTATTTTCAATTTAATACTTTGTCTATCTGCGGCAGTATGAAGGATCTGTACACTACTGTAGGTAAAAGAAATCTAGCAGCTGCCTGCAGCGCATCAGGGATCCTCATTTTTACTTGTTATCTTCACCATATCTTTCTATGCAAGTATCGTATAATCCTCACCTTTTGTTTAGATCCAGTTTGTGCCGTCTTATCTAGAGAAGTTGCGGAAAGCTCCGAGGACTGTGCCTTCGAAGTGGAGAGGGGAGATGCGCTTCGAGTTTGGAAGTCGGGGAGCAAAGCGCTTGCTCTGATCTGCAGCCGGCTTGGCTGCGTTGATCATTACCACACTAGTGGTGGGGGCTACGGAAGCTGCGGCTTGCTGCTTCCCAGCATCATACGCTTTGTATGTGCTGGTGGTGTTGTTTTGAGACGACTTGGCAGCTTTGCCCTGAGCTGGGACGGGCTCAGTGGTATTTCGTGCTGTCGTTTCTCGAGGGGTGTTGGTAGAGGCGACCTCGTAAAGCGCAGACAGTTGTGAGTAACTGATCTTCTGCGAGAGATCACTTGGTCCACCTGGGACAAGGCAGGAGGGGTAGTTCTGTCTCTTGTCTTGTTCTTTGACGTTAAAGAATAGCTCTGCTTCTTCTTGAGCAGATACTGATTCTTGACCTGCCTTGCTTGTCAAAGGCAAGGCAGGCTTTGCACGAAGGCCAGAGCTGGCTTGCTGGCCAGTCTCGCCAGCTCTGTATGCCTCTCGAAGCGTATCTGGTTGATCCCTCTCATGGAGGTGATTCTTCCCAAATCCGAATAGTGGAACTTTGCCACGCTTCTGCTGCTTCAGGTGAGCAGCAGCTGTTAGCCAAAGTTGGCCATCCTCGCCGATGACGCGTCCGTCAGCGGGGAGGAGGTCCTTTGGTAGGTCATCTTGCTCAGTTCGTCGAGCCCACTCAAGACCTGTGGCTTGGGATGTGCCTTGCCAGATCTTAATCTTGCGCTTCTTAAGCAAGATGCCGGCAAGTGTTGGTAGGCGTGGTGGAAGTGGTTTGCTATCTTGGGTATGTGCGCCTGGAAGAGTCTTGCCGGTCTGTGAAGGTAAAGTGTTGCGAGAGTCTTTCTCGAGAAGGTGTGAGTCTTGCTTGCTTGGTGTGACCACCGCCACCTCAACCCTTCCCCCACACGCTGGGCAAGAGCGCGGCTGTTCCAGAGCTGTCTCTATCAGTTCGCACTGGACAGAGTGGATGAAACCGGTGTCTCTTGCATCCTCCTTGACCTTGCACATTTGGTGGCTCACTCCATGGTGGCCACAGCCATAGGCGATGGAAGACCAAACACACATGCTCGCGGTTTCGTTGGAGGGTTGGCGGTTTTGGGTTGGGTACTGTTGTTGCTTCGAGTTTTGGTTTATGCAGAATCTAAAGTTTCAGAGGAGGCATGCGATGTATAAGTTCGTTTGACTGTCTATTGTTCTGGATTTTATTGAACAGAAGTCCAGATTCAGTCTAGTGTAGTACTTTTAAATAGCAAGTCGTTATACTGTTCATTTGCTAAACAAGCAGAAGAACAACATTGTTGCTGTTCAGCTGTTGTTCTTTCGCTTGCTCAGCAATAAGAACAGCACTAAGAAAAACAATGTTGATGTTCTCGCTCTTGTTCCTTATTTTTGCTTTATCGGGTCCTTTGAGCAATATTCATTGTCGCCCCCTCGGCACAAAGCTCCTTTCATTCCGTGGGGACAAAGCCACGGCCTTATATATCTCCAGTGACTGTTTTCCAATGAAAACAATCACATTGTATCTCTTAACTTTCGAACTCCCAATACTTTCGCTTGAACAATCTTACTTTCTAGACGCAGGCGTCTCTGTTTTCACCAACATACACTCTTTACGAATATCGTCCCTACTCAAAGCTGCTGGTCAGTATGTCTTCAAAAAACTACAACTCATTCCTCAATTCAAAGAGACAAGATGCTTTGAGAAGCTTTCGTCAACGTCCTTACACATGGGACCCAACTCAAGCTTCAGAAGCAGAAGCATTTCGGGACAAAATGCAACAACGCTATCGACTACCAACCACAAGACCGAAATCACCCAAACCAGCTTATGAGCCACATATGTTAGATCACCGAACTGAGGGCGCAAAAGTAGGTTACGATCCTGAGCCAGCTCCGAAGTCATTCCGAGGTCCATTGACATGGCAAGCGCATGTCTTCAAGTGGCTTTTCATTTTCTTGGGTTTGTTGATGCTATTAGCTCTCTTTTTGGTTCTTATAAATATCTTTGGAGGAATTGTCGAGCTGGTCTTGTTATTCCTCGGGAGCTGGTTTTGTGTTGAAAGGGTGAGAATATTCCTCCACTCGGAGGATGAGCTTGAAATCGAATCATAATTATTTTCCGGTTTCTTTGATCCCATGCTGTTATAGTCAAATAAATGACTCTTTGATCTCCTTTATGCAGTTTCTTTTTTGGACAAGGACGTTTGCCATGTTCTACCGTGACACGTGATATGATCTACATCAAATAGTTCCAGGTGTTGAAATTCTTTCTTTGTAAGTGACGGTGTCGACAATCGCCGTAGTCTCCTGTACTATCCACTTCTGTCGTACAATCGAGTCCTTGAAGCCTGAAACCCTAGGCGGATGCCGAGCGTGTTCATCTATTTAGCCTTTTCTCCTCAATATGCAATCAACGGAGAATTTTCCTACACCAGTCATATCACGACACCCGGAACAAAAGAGGGTTTTACTGAAGAGGGGAGCTTGATTGGCCCTACTAAACCCGGGAAAAGCTGGGGGGGTATATAGATCTTCTCAAAAAGATGCAAACCTTGTCAATCTTCCTTTCTTTTCCGTTTATATTTTATCTTCGATTTTATGATCATGAAGTTCTCCATCGTCCGTGCTCTGACGCTCGCTTCTTCCTCACTCGCATAGTCAGCACACCCAGTCGAGCAAGGGGGAAAACCAGCAGCAATCTTTTTGGTAGGAGATTCAACTACGGCAGCCCCATCTGGAAGCGGAGGAGGCTGGGGAAATGGTTTTCTAGGTACACTCGTGGGCGGAGCAATTGGAACTAATTTTGGCCACAATGGAGCAACGACAGTAAGCTTTGTTAGTGGTGGCGATTGGACGAAGGTGCTCGCTTCAATAACAAAGTACAAGTCGACATTTTTACCCTTTGTGACGATACAGGTACATCTTTCCTTGTTCTTGTTGTCGAAGGAGAATGAATTATTCAAAGCGATGGCGACAGACAAATGACAAACCCCGTACTAATTCTTTCAGTTTGGACACAATGACCAAAAGTCCTCTGCAAACATCAGCATTGCAGAGTTCTCCACCAACCTTAAAGCTATGGCTCAAGATGTGATGGCCGCAGGAGGGACACCGATCCTCGTGACCTCTTTGTCGCGCCGCAATTACGATGCTTCCGGGCTCATCAAGCCTGATCTTGCGAACGTCGTGAACGCCACTCTTTCGGTGGCCATGGCTAATTGGTGTCCCTTCATCGATCTGAACAAAGCATCAATGAAGTACCTCAACGCTATTGGAGAAGCAAACGCCATGATGTACGACAGAGTCGCAGGTGATTCTACGCATCTAAACGCCGCAGGTGACCTGCTTTTCGGTAACATGGTTTCGTGGTTTTTAAGCAGTAGTGATATAGGAGTACAAGTAGAAGCATTCTTAGGTCCAAATGCGACCATTGTCAAGGCGATTGAGAAGGGGACATTCGTTTTACCAGCAAACACAAGTTTCAATCTAGAAGATGGTGTACCCGTTCAGAGACCTTCTTTTCATGTGCTTAGAAGGAGCCATGTGGTCTAACTTTTTCATTGTTCGAAAAGATGTGTGTATATTAAAATGAGCCAATATAGAGATGACTCCTCTGTTATCTTTCATTAGGACTTATGCTCTGCAATAATGTGCGAGACGCTAAGTCTCTGTATTTTACTTCTATTCTGACACAATTTCATGAATCCACCTCTACCATCCGAAAGTCCATCCGACGCCGATCTTATCATCATGAACGACACATATGGTGCTGGTCTCCAGGATCCAGCGCCTTCAACATCCGTCGAACATAATCAGAATGCAGGCCATTTCTCTGCCTCTGATGCACCTGAAGCCACCTTCAACTGCACCGAAGCCAAGCTCTTGCTCAATCAATATGCGATGATCCAGGAAAAGTGGGATAATATGAGAAAAGATTTTCTCAAAGCTGCCGATGAACGATTAACGTGTGCTCTCTGCCATGAATTTCATGGATACGACCATGATGTGAGCAGTTGACTAGTAAGCAAGCAAGATCTTAGTTCCTCATTTACTTGTGCTCACTGCTTTATAAACCTTCTTTCCATGTCCTTCGGCTGCTACTCGCTGCTCTATGTTAGGAAGTGAGAAGACATAGAGATTACTTTCGTTCTGCGGAATTGAGAATACCCCATGTTAACGTCCAGTAGTGGAAAGAATTGTTCAGCGGTCTGGTCGAAATGGATTTCGGCGCTGAGACTCTGTCTGGAGAGATTGATGGCACGAAGAAAGGCATTACTTTGGAGACCGTAAATGCTTGGCTGAAGAAATGGGATCTAATGGAGGAGATGTATGACAAGGAGTGTAAGGGAAGTGGATGCAGACAGTGGGAGGAGGGTGAGCTCTAATCACCCCACGAACACTGCTGTAGGTTCCAGTCTAGGCTAACTTTTGCTGTCAAACAGGCTTCGTCCAGACCCAACAACCAGAAATCGACAACAAACCTGATCGTATCAGACGGGTGAATTGCGATTGGATGATTCAAGGGACCCAGGCAGCTACCAGTACAGATACAAGTGGTTGGAATACTGTTGATCGAAGTAACGGTAGTCGAGGTAGCGATCGAGCCCAAGGAGGAAGAGGAGGGGGTGGAGGAGCACGAGGTGGTAGAAGTGGAGGGGCAATAGGAGCAAGAGACGGAGGCACCAGACTCTGCTTCAACTACAATCAACCAGGACATGACAGGGCCGTAAGTTATCCAGCAGTCTTCATTCCATTAGGTGAAAGCTTATTTCAGCACAACAGGACTGCCAAAACGAGCGCGTGCGTAAGTGTTTCAACTGCGACGAACTGGGTCATGAAAGGAAGGCGTGTCCTAAGCCCAAGGATATGTCAAGAATCAGGTGCAACAAATGCGAGAAGCTCGGACACACAGAACATAAGTGCACCCAAGACCTGCAGCAAAACATCATTGCTGCAAGTTATGGGGTGGGCTATGAAGCGACAAGACATTCCGGAATTTTAGGCACTGGAGCGGATGTTGTAGGTGGAGAATAAAACTGGGACACTGCAGGAGCTGCAGCATGAGATGAAAGTAGTAACACACATTCGGAAAACGACGGCCAATCCCGGTCTACTAAATGAAAATGGTGAAGGTTGGTAATGACAGAGGAGGAAAAAGTGTACGTACTCGGAGTGCTTTCAGCTTAGTGTTCTTCTCTCAGTCTGTCTTTCAAAAGAGAATTTCAACATCTTCTGTGGACTTTACATTGTACACAAGAGAATCGTACACAGCTTGTCATGTAAACAGAAATGTCTCAAGTGACCGGGTAGCTACGCGGCAAACGAACGAAACCCTACTTTGGATTCTGCAGTATGAAGACACTGCATGATTTCATACCTCAAAGAAGTCCTCCCGAATTTGGGATCTATAAACTAGGGGCAGCTCATCAGGGTTGCAACAGTATTGCAATTGCCATGAGATTGTATTCGTCCCATGGAGGAAAAACATCTCGAAATTCGTTGCCAGGTAACACAACAACTTGTTGCTCTACTTCTTGCTGCTAAAAGTTCCATGCCAGATCCCGAAACACTTCGCTCGCCATCTCGGTCAAACGGATGATCTGGTCAATATGATCTCAATCCTCAGCATCAAGCTTCTACCTCTCTTGCACACTCTTCTCGATTTCGAAGATATCGAAACGGAGGACAAAGAAAACTCCGACACCTTTCGTCCAAGCCCCGAAGTGCAGACTACTCCAGCTCCCAGCACTTTCGCTCAAGTATTTCAAAAATCCTCCGAACTTCATGGGGGATATGAAACCCGTGGTCTGACCGAGTTGTACAAGCAATGGAACGCAGAAATCATTAAGATGATGGAGGTGTATGACAATCGTCAGAAATGCCAGAACTGTCACGAGAGCCACGAATGCCAGAACACCGCCGTGCAATGGATTAAGTGGCATAGCATGATGCTGAGATTGAAAGTGGAGAGTGTGGACGAAGCAGCATTCAAAATTCTAGCCATCTTGCCTAGAATCATCGAAAGCGAATATCATCAGAGAGTCAGCGGTACGGCCTGTAGAAAATCCAAGCAAATGCGGGCAAAGAGATCGGGAGAACGAGATGCAGGAAATGATAGGATCGATCCAGAGACGGAGACAGAAAAGTGTGGCGAGGCCTATGTCAAGGATGCTGCTGGAATGAAGGATATTTGAAATGGATAAGGACAGGTCATTGGACCGGTTTCGAGCAGGGAGCATATGTTGTGCTGTGTTGCCTTTACTATTGCTTCTTGTTGCCGTCCTTGCGTCTGTCAATGGCTGTTCAACTTCCTGCAAGCTTGAAAGAACTATTTGGGATTAACATGGAGACTCTGCCTGTTACTCGCTCAAAGTGGCTGGATAACTGAACGATGTCACGTGAACAGTCCAGGAATGACCACGAGGAGGTACCTAACAGCAGGTGTCATACGCCTTCCTATATCCATGAGAGGCCGAAAACAAATTGCAGCAATTCATAAAAGCCGTTCTCAATGTCGAGAAAGACTATGCCATGTCTCGTGAAGTGTCTCGTAGGCCCCATCCTAATGTCCTCGAACAACACCACCTCAATTGAATGATGTGCTTCACGGTAGCGCCACACATTCAATCTCAATGTTCACCCCTCTTGGTAATTGCTTCACGGCCACGCAACTCCTCGCCGCCTTGTGTTTGATCCACTTCTCATATTCGACATTCATCTCAGCGAAGTCCGCCATGTCGGTGAGAAATATCTGTGCTTTGACAATTTTGTCAAGGGAAGAGCCTCCTTCGGCGAGAACCGCTGACAGAGCTTTGAGAACCGCAGCGGTTTTTTCACCCATTGACCCTTCTACTAGGTTGCCTTCTGCATCTGCTGGAAGTTGGCCCGAACAGTAGATGGCATGTGGTGTTTTGATGGCTTGCCTCGAGGCTGGTCAGTGAGTGGCTTGCAGACTAAGCACTTCAAGGAAACACATACGAGTATGGTCCAACAGCTTGTGATGATTAGCTCAGGCGTCTAGGAAGAGATATACAGTAACATGTTGGTCTTCACATGCATACTTACGAGGCATGGCATGTTTGGTCAGAATTGGAATCATATCTGACATCTTGGGAGGAAGGGCGTGGAAACGGCGTCCACTGATTCTGGTTAGAGTGAAAGACGGTCGTACTGAAAGAGTTCTTGTAGCTCTGGCAGTATTTCTGATGAGCTGGGACATGACGGTTGAAATGGAGAATGGAGGGAGGGAAGGAAAGAGAGTTGTCAACAATATGTATATGTATATGTATGTATGTATGTATTCCTCGCCCTAGAAAGGTGGGTGGGTGGTGGAGCTCAGAGAAGAAGTCGTTGTCGTTCAGCGAATCAGCACGCGTTCAGCAGGTGGTCAGTGCCCTTGCTTGCCGGGACGGTCACGTGAATTTGGCTGGTGTTGGTGCAGGTTGCAAATGCGGTTTGGTGTTTCTAGGTGAATATTATTATTAGTACGAATTGAATTTAAATATAAAAATTCCATGCGTGTATATCTTTGACCCGTCATCTGAATTGTCTTACATGTCCTGTCGGAGATGTTCTCAAGCCTTTCGAGCCCCTGACATCGGAAGAAGACACCTTTACCCTCCACCAAACTTTTAGCCCTGGTGGCCCTTCTCCTGACGCGGCTGGCCTGAGCACCGTAAACCACCGCATCGCATCCGCATTAATTGTGAACAACTTTGCCCAGAACAGAACACCGAGTCCTTTTTTTTTCTGCTGGCTTCGAGCTTCTCTTTCCCCTTCTCCTTCGCTGTCATCTTCAGCAACCGCGCCTCTTGGTCATCATTGATCAATGCCATTTCTTTTCACCCTCTGATTCTTGCTAAAGAAACTCCCTCTGTCAGTTTCGTTGTAAGTGCCACACTCTGCCCATGTCCGAAGCTCCTTCAAGCTTCCCCTCGAGCTTTGGCTGACAACCAACCCCATCAACAGTTTCCTTATTTCAATTCCATTGTTCCGCAATGTCTGGTCAACAAGGCTCAGTGCGGAAGCGCAAAGATAACTCGATTCCACCAAAGGCGAAAGATGCATCCGCAGCGGGAACTACTACCCCTCGAGATGCCGACCTCGACGCCCTGGTCAAAGCCAAGCTGGACAACAAATCGGCCGGCGTGGAATGGGACTTTCGGATTGCTCTAGGAGTCATTACTCTGCTGGCTTTCATTACAAGATTCTGGGGCATCAGTCACCCAAATGAGGTTGTCTTCGACGAGGTGCATTTTGGGAAGGTAAAGTCCACCCTTTGAAGACATGTGGATATATGCTTACCTCTTGCTTCCCATAGTTTGCCTCATATTATCTCCAGCGGACCTACTTCTTCGATGTCCATCCTCCCTTCGGAAAACTTCTGTTCGCCCTAATGGGATGGTTTGTGGGCTATGATGGAAGCTTTCACTTCGAGAATATTGGCGACTCGTATATCGCGAACAAGGTGCCATATGTTGCATACCGTGCTATGCCAGCTCTCCTTGGAGCTCTCACCGTCCCAGTGGTTTTCGACATTATGTGGGAATCTGGCTATACTCTACCAGCCTGTATTCTGTCCGCTTGCCTCGTCCTTTTCGATAACGCCCACATTGGCCAAACTCGACTTATTCTCCTCGATGCCACTCTCGTGTTCGCCATGGCTTGCACTCTTTTGTGCTATGTCAAGTTCTACAAGGAGAGGCACGAGCCATTTGGACGCAAATGGTGGAAGTGGCTTTTGTTGACTGGCTTCGCGCTGAGCTGTGTCATCTCAACGAAATATGTTGGCGTCTTCTCGTTCGTCACAATCGGCTCAGCGGTTGCGATTGATCTATGGGATCTCCTGGATGTCAATCGTCGCCAAGGCAGCCTCAGTCTGCCTGATTTTGCCAAGCATTTCGCAGCACGAGCTATTGGACTGATCGTTATCCCATTCTTCTTTTATCTGTTCTGGTTCCAGGTCCATTTCGCCATTCTCACTCGTTCTGGTCCAGGTGACGATTTCATGTCCCCTGAATTCCAAGAAACACTAAGCGATAATGTTATGCTTGCCAATGCAGTCAATATCGACTACTATGACAACATTCAAATCAAGCACAAAGAGACACATGGCTATCTCCACAGCCACCCGGACAGATATCCGCTGAGATATGATGATGGTAGAGTTTCCAGTCAAGGTCAGCAGGTTACAGGGTATCCGTACGCCGATGCCAACAACCATTGGCAAGTCATCCCTCTGGTCAATGACGATGTTCTGGGACACCACGTTAGGAATAACGAGCTCGTCCGGTTGAGACATGTTGTCACTAACACTATGCTTCTCTCCCACGATGTTGCTTCGCCATATTACCCAACCAACCAGGAGTTTACAACGGTTCCAATGGAGGAAGCTTTGACCGACAGATTCAACGACACTCTGTTCGAGATCCGAATCGAAAACGGCAAACCAGGCCAAGAGTTCAAGAGTCTTTCGGGTCAATTTAAGCTCATTCACAACCCAAGCAAGGTTGCCATGTGGACACATACTACACCACTTCCGGATTGGGCATACAAGCAACAGGAAATCAATGGAAACAAGAACCTTGCGCAAAGCTCCAATGTCTGGTTTGTGGATGAGATCCCCTCCATTCCTGCTGACAGTCCACGCTTGGTCAAGACACCGCGCAAGGTCAAGAGCGTTCCCTTCTTGAAGAAGTGGTTCGAATTGCAAAGAGCAATGTTCTACCACAATAACGCCCTCACTAGCAGCCATCCGTATGCCAGTGATCCTTACATGTGGCCCTTCTTGTTACGTGGTGTCAGCTTCTGGACCCAGAACGATACCCGTCAACAGATCTATTTCCTGGGTAACCCCATTGGATGGTGGATAGCAAGCAGTCTTCTTGCTGTCTTCGCCGGTATCCTTGCCGCTGATCAACTATCTCTTCGTCGCGGCGTGGATGCTTTAGATGATCGTGAGTATCTCATTCCCTCTCCAAACAGACCGAACACTAATTTCTTCAGGTACACGATCACGCCTATATAACTCCACTGGCTTCTTCTTCCTTGCATGGCTGATGCATTACGCTCCTTTCTATCTGATGGGACGTCAATTATTCCTTCACCACTACCTGCCCGCGCATCTCGCATCCGCTCTTGTCACCGGAGCTCTTTTAGAGTTCATTTTCAACGTGGAGCCTGTCATCGACGACAGCGTCTTTATCAAAGGAGCCAAGAAGCCTGCTCCCAAGAAGCATTTGCCAGCCCGCGAAAAGCTTGCAGGTCAGAACCTGATGACGTCGTGGGCGGCTCTCGGTGTATTGCTAGCGCTTGTCATCGGTGGCTGGTACTTTTTCCTGCCTCTGACATATGGCTATCCTGGCCTCACGGTGCCCCAAGTCCAGGCGCGAAAATGGCTAGGTTATGATCTACACTTTGCGAAGTAAGTGTGCAGGTTGTGTTGATTAGATATGTTAGGGAGAAGGATCAAAAATGGGAATCGGAACTCGGCGCGTTGATTGTCTCTGCGATTAGCGATTGCATATGTAAAAATATCGTCAGAGGGTGCCCCAACATTTTCAAATGAATTTTCTCGTCTCTATTGATATTCTAGTTGTGATCTTGACATTGAACTGAATTTAAGGTTGGTACTCATTCCCGAACATTGTATTCAGGTAAAGTCCTAGTAAAGCTAGATACCATCGGGTACTTGTCTTATTTGACTTTTCCTCGCAGGCTTAGTTTAGAACCGACATTAATTGACGGACATGTCTTACATGGCGTGGAATAGATTGTGAGACTCGAAAGAGAAAATATTCGATGTCCGACATCACATTACACTCTGACAGACACAGTAGGTTTTCATTTGACTCCAGACATTCAATTTTCCTAAATGGCGAACCCTTATGCCCCTGTCTGGCAATACAATGCAACGCCAAGCCCCATGCCATGCCAAATTCCCAGTCCCACAACTCATGAGATATTTACAAGTCTTCATCCATCAACCCTAAACAATCCAACTCAGTCCTGACAATCCTCTCAAATTCCCCTCTTTCTATGCCAGCGACTTTCGCTAGCCTATACAGACTCTTGACACTTGTTCCAATATGCTGCTTGATGCCAACTTCACTCTGCTCCAGCGCAGCCGAAGCTGCAGCACCCTTTTCGAGCTTCGCCACTGTATCGCTGCCGCTTGAACCAGTACTTGAACCGGGGCGAGGATGTAGTATCTCGTCACTCGTGAACATGCCATCATCGTTTGGCTCTTGTAATTGCGACCACGCCGAAGCCGACGAATGTTCATGCTCGGTAGCAAGACTTTGTTGGAGTTCTTGGGCAATCTCGTCTCGGCCCAGAGACGATTCGACCGTCCCATTCTGCTCTGCCTCGTCGGGGTCATGGTCGTCCATGGCAGGCTGTACAGAGGAGTATTGTGCATAATAACTCGCTTCGTCATCGTCGTGATGTGCTCGTTCATCTGACAAGCTTGTCATGGGGGCAATGCCCGAGTCTTTCGGGGCAGGTGTCCGCGCAGGTGTATTGTCGTACTGCGCCCAATAATCATCGTCATCGTCTTCGTCCTCGTCCATAGCATCTGCGTCTGGGGTGAGAAGTCCATTCGTGCCATTGGATCGATTATGTGAGCTCAGCAGCGGCGTGGAGTAATTCTCGTAGGCTTCTTCTGCTTGAGAGATATTGGATTGGCCCCAAGTTGAGTCCACGCTGGGTTCGTAGACTGCCACTTCTCCTATCCTCCAGCCGTCGCCGCCACCTATCTCATCGTTCACACACCAGACCAATTTCACACTCAGATCCAATTCGTGGAGAGAGGCAAGGGATTGTAAGGTCTCCTCGTCGGTGCGTTTATAGCGCAGGTCCACGTCGTAATCCCAATCGATTTCTACTTCGCCCGACACTGGATGGGGTTCAAATCTCTCGTTCTTGACGACTTCTTCTAGTTTGGAGGCTTTGGTGCTATCGTAGCATAGAAGTGGGAGCCATGGTTCCTGGTTGGAGGCCGACAGCAGCTGGACTCGCTGTCTGAGGATGGGCGAGAGGAGGGGTAAGAGCGCCGTGGGAGGAGACGGCGAGATGGAGGCAGCAGGTAATGAAGCAAGAAGATGTCCTAAAAGCTGTTCAGTCTTGGGAGGGAGAATCGGCGCCTTCATGTTCGTTGTGTTGGGCGTCGTGCGGCGTGATGATGCTGGAGAATCCTTCGATCACATGCAAGGTTGACGGGAGTTTTGGAGAGAGAGGGACAAGAGAAAGAGAAAGAAAGAGGGGAAAGACAGATACGAAAGCGATAAAAAGGAAGTACTGTAAGCATGCAGCCAGTATTCAGTAGCAGGCGAGGGAGTGAGGAAGGGAGGGAGTGAGAGTGCGGCGTCTCTCTTCTCGTGGACGACCTGCTGGTCCTCCTGGGTCTTGTGTTGCCATGTTTCCTGAGCCTGAGCCTTTGCTTCCTTCTGCCCGGCCAAATGGGGTATTCCACCAGCCTGCGGCCGTCGGCAACGCCCGGGGAGCCCTGGTCGCTTGTGCCAGTGGAACCCTCGAACGCCGAACATTGTAACGAGACAAGGCTGATGACCGCTTAATCGGCAGTTACTGTACCTCCATCTCCTTCCATGCTCTGCAGAAGTGAGGAGTACCGACTTGGTAATTATTCAATTGCAGATACTGTGCTGGTGAAGAGCAAAGGGGTTGCGCCCATCTCTGTCTATTCTCTCATTCACAGCTGCCCTTGGACCTGGAAATCTTACCTCATCGACCTTGTTTGCTCGCGACAAGATCCTCATTTCGGCGGCTCGTTTTCTGTATCACAAAACTCGGCACATTACATTACATGCACCTTCCGAAACACTCTATATAGATTAAGAAGTGGGGAATGTTGAACAAGAAGTATGATACATGCCATTCAGCCTCATAATATGCATTTCACTCGTATTTTCGCGTCATTATTCTATATTCGAGAGGTTCAAGTCGACTCATGGCCCCCAATCATTCATTACCCCCCACTATTCCGTCTTAGCCACTTCCATATCCATCATAACCCGAAGAACTCGCTCATAAGTCCACATGGTGACCGCACTGGCCGGAGCAGCTTTGAAAAGGCTGGGAGACGTTAGTCATACAATAATGCATAAAGGAGAACACATACCTAACAGTTAACCCACGGTACAAACCTCGAGTACCTTCCTTCTTCAAGATACTCTGCAATGTTCGGATAACGCCTTTGTATACGGGTATATTCTTATGCACATACTTCGCTCGGGTAGGGCCTTGGACCTGTAGACGCTTCCTCACCAAATCCAAGGGGAACACGGCTGTCTTGGAGACTAGAGAAGCCAAGACGCCTGCCATAGCCTCCCCAGATCCGAAGGGTAATTGCAGACTGCTCATGGGCTTTCGCAAGGTCTCATACGTAGCGAAGAAGATGCCCATGTACGGTATGATCTGACCCACGCCCGCTCCTAGTCCCTGAAAGAAGCCCCTTGGCCCTTCATTCTTTGCAATCTCCCGTATCGAGGCTGCCAACGAGGTGTAAATCCTCTCTCTGCCCTGCGCTGCGAATCGTGTCCTGAGCAGATCAAGAGGGTACGTCGCTGTGGTTGAAACGGCACCTGCACTCGCGCCGGCAATAAAACTTTCCGCGGCAGCAGGTAGTCGATGTTCTCCAAATGCGCTTTGCAACCCCAAAGTAACGGATCGGTAGGTCGTGAATTGGATCGCGCTGTATGCAACGTACATCAATTCGGCTGGGATATTCCCTTTCCAGAGTCCAGTAATTCCTTCATCTCTCAGTATGTGCCTGAGAGTTGGAAGAGTGCCTTTGTATATGGGCGATCCTTTGAGGTCTTGTTGGGATAAAGGGTCGGAGAGCGAATGGGTTTGCAGCTGCAGCCGGATCTTGACGACATCGAGAGGGGCAATCACAAATCTAGAACACTCAATTCAATGACTGGCTGATGATAAGGAGAGGATAGATCACATACCTCGCGATCAAACCTGCAACTGCACCAGCTATCACGACCTGGGTTTTGGATCCCTAACGCAGGCGGCAGGTTAGCGTAAGAAAATACAATGAAGGGTAGAGCAGGTCGGGTTTAGATAGCTCACCTCATCCTTGAGGTGTTCTCCGCTTCGAGACATGCATCTGTCAATGCTGCGCACAATTCAGGTCGGGTTCGAGGATGCACATATGTAGAGAGGAAGGGAAGAGAGGATTGAGGAGAGAAGAAGAGTCGTCGGCGGGTTATTATTTGATTCGGGATTGAGTGAGGGGGAGCGAGCGGAGCGAGGCTGAAGAAGCAAAAAAAGGCGAGTGAGTGAGTGAGTGAGGCTGATATTTGGAAAAGTGGGTCTGAGCAGGGGTCCTCAGTAGGTGCAGCGGACAGACTCGACAGACTAAAAATTTCTCCCTCATTCGAACTCCTTTCTCGTCCATATTCATATCTCCCATCACATATCTACCTACACTCGACATTCTTTTCCCATCCGTCCTGATCATTCATTACATGTCCCTGGTGTCTCTCTCTCTCTGGACACAGGGTTCTATCGTCAACTGGTGGTCTCAGTTTGTCTGATTGAGATTCAAGTCTGCCCGTAACACATTCATTCCAGTCCAGCTCGCAGCCTCGACTCGTTCGAAAGGGACACGTGACAACTTGCCACCATGGATCTCCATCGATTGAATACAAGGACCATGTCTCGCTGCATCTCGAGCATCCGGGCGACTGCTGCCGTCTCGGGTTGGTCGTGTCTGAGTACACAGTGTCGTCGCCTGAGCAAGTCAACACATCTTCTTCGGCGGCCACTTGCTTTACCGAGAGGGTCTCGGGACACCGCATCAACACCACGCTTCTTTTCGTCCACGCGCTCGAATCTATCGTATCCAACAGAGACCGCGGCCGAATGGAAGGCGAAGTCGGGACCTGACGGGCCTGATATGAATCTATTCTATGTCAAAGTGGGACAAAAATCGTGGCATCCCGCATTTTTGCGTGATGCGTGTACATGCCCTCTCTGTGTGGACCCTTCCTCGAAACAGAAGAACTTCCAGACGACGGACATTCCGAAGGAGATTGAAGCAAAATCGGTCAAGGAGAAATCAAACGGAGACGTCACCATCACGTGGACGAAAGACGTGCCTGGTTTCAAATCGAGTCATGTTACCACAATTCCAGCGACGTTCTTTGCTACATATAACAGCCGAGCGAGCCTCGAAAAGGCTCGTTATCTTTCCCCTGCTTTCACGTGGACCAAGCAAAAAATCACGGAGAGGCTCCAGTTCATTGACTTCCACGAGTATATGCATGACGAAGCACGGCTTAGGCATGCTTTGCGGTTTCTAACTGCGTTTGGCATCCTCCTCGTTCGAGGTGTACCGGATAATGAGAATGCGGTCGAAGATCTCACAAGCCGCATAGGGACCCTCCGAGATACATTCTATGGTCGTACTTGGGATGTCAAGTCGATACCGGATGCCAAGAATGTAGCATACACACAACAACATCTCGGACTGCACATGGACTTGCTCTACATGCAAAATCCGCCCGGGCTCCAGTTCTTGCATTGCCTCAAAAATACAGCCCCAGGAGGCAACTCGCTGTTTTCCGATGCTCTCAGTGCAGCACACTCCTTACCTGATCCAATTTTCGAGACGCTCTCTTCCCAGAATATAGCGTTTGAGTATCGAAACGATGGGCAGCACTACTACCTCGAACGCCCTGTTCTTGAAGTTGGAAACCGCCAACAACGTACAGTGGATTTTTATAGGACCAAGTACTATCGACCTGAAGTATTGAACATCAATTGGTCACCACCCTTTCAGGCCACTTTACCTTTCCCGACCAAAATTCAAGGACACCCACTGCCAAACGTATTACGCGCACTTCGACATTTCGCAAAAAAGGTCCAACACCCTGCAGCTATCTACGAGTATAGGCTAAACGAGGGAGAGTGCATTATCTTCAACAATAGAAGAATTTTGCATGGAAGGACGGCCTTTGATGCCACTCAGGGAGAGCGGTGGCTGAAAGGTGCTTATGTTGATAACGATGTATTCCAGAGTCGTCATCGAGTTCTTTGTGAACAGGCCGAGAACGAAGTGGACTTTGATAACATCGATTCGTATACGTATCATGTTCATCCTGAAGAAGCAAGAATGGCGCAAGAGAAACAACAGGCGTACACACTGAAGATGGAGGAATCGGACGATTGAGAGAGCTTCGTTGTCAGTGATTGGTAAAACGGGATGTGTTTCGAGTACGAAGTAAGAGTCACCAGACTCACCAACAAGGTGGACACCTTGATGTATCAATCATATGTATAGATTTGTACAACAATATCAGCGAGGTGGTCATGGCGTGGCGCCGAGAATCTCATATCTTCCATGAACTGTAAACGCAACCCAAAAATCCCAACTGGGCACTCGAAGTGACAGCATGCGTCCCTCAGCTTTACAAGCTTATATATGGAAGATCCCATACGGGAGTCAGGCAGAAAGGGATCCTTCGAAGCAAGCACATGCTCCAAGAGTTCGCTTTTACACGGATGTGACTTGATGTGTCATAGCCGCTGCTTAGCTCCCTAGAGGAGGTTATTGACTTGCAAGAAGCAAACGAAACTTCATGGTTTTCAGAGAAAATATTATCTTATTCACATTTCCTTCGAGTATATACGTTTACGGTATTCGGCCTATCGAAGGGTTCGAGTAGCTGCGTACGGAATCGCTTTGATTACGAGGTAAGTGTATGGAAATATCTGCAAAGCCTGTCCTTCTGTTCTCTGCTTCCAATCCGAACTATGTTTCCGACTCTTTTCCACGTCTTCTGAGCTTATTACGTGTTCATTCTTCTCCGACCTTCAAGATAGAGTGTAATACGATCTTCTCCCTTGGGCGACACTGAAGTGACATACTGTCTCCTCGGTGTCAGGTGTCCCGCTTCATGCTGTCTAGATCAGGGCGGCCTTTCTTTTTTCACCGAAGTCTCATCAAGCAGTCATCCTATTGCGCAATGCGCAACAAAAGATGGCTTATTAATTGCCCCTGCTGCTTCGAGGTGTCGAAGCCCTGATACTTCTGGTACGATGGCGCCTCGGTCTCCTGATCAGTGGTTCTCGATACAGCGCGCTTGTTGCATGCAACACGAAATTTCTGCTCTGTCATTCCTGCATCGTTATCAGCTTTTTTTGTCTCAGCATACATATGTTTTATCTTTCATTCACGGATGGCTTGTTCCAAGGATGCCAACTGTATATACTGTGCGACAGGTGGATGTGAAACAACTGTTGAATTCGAATGCGGTGCATGAGAGAGCCAGCGAGTGCTATGGCAGAAACTCCTGTCAGCTTTGGAAACATCGGCCATTGGCTCTCTTCTTTGTCAAGTACCAGAACTCATATCTCGGAGCCTCAATACTGTTGCCGTTGGTTCTTCAGCTAATCTGTACCTAGTGGAGTCTTTCCCGCCGTGCAGTGCTGTGGGCCACATCCCTCGATCAACGGCAGTTGTTCGATTCAAGATGATTTTCCTTTTTCTGGACAAGATGTTCCTAATCGAATTTGTATGCAACTGTTTTGTCGAATAGAGAACAACACAAGAGAAAGTTTTCGCAAACATAAAATTCATATCCTAATGTTCCTCTACATCCTCTAGTCTGGTGTATTGACCCGAACCGATAAGATGGTAGTGCAAACAGTCACAGCCTCATGCACCCCACCTCCCATCTCAGGTGAGATGGGCAGACTAGTTACCCATAGCGATGTGTAAGTTTGCCAAGGGCCGCCACGGTCCGTAGACCTGAATATGCATGACACACTGAGCTGTGGTGTAACTTTAAGTGAACGGTCAAAGATCATGTCGGCTACCAATACGGAGCTGCTATAAGGCTTTGAAACACTTCACTGAAGCTTGAACACAATAAGCAATTAAACCTCTATAAGGATTTGGTGTCACTTCAAGAGTTTAAGAAGCTCGGTAGAAGCTTCACTCCAGTGCTCTGTCTCTTTGGAGTGCCTGAGACCTTTTTTATTGGCTCTTTCAAACCACCTTCAACCATCCAGGAGCGGCAGGTGATTGATGTCACAGAGTCAGATCCCTGGTCTGTCCTTGTGCGCATGCTAGAAGAACACGCCTTCAAGGACAGCGGACTGTTCTCGAGTTACACCGTGTATCATGGACCAATACGTGCTGCATAGAAGCTACCCTGACCGGGTTAGTAGAGCATCTCCGTCTGAACTGCTACGAACTTTGTCCCAAAACCACAGTGAGTCGGATGCGTGTCGGGACGGCGCGCTTGCTGTGTGCCTGATCCTCTCTTCTGTTGAACATCAGATGATTGTCCTATGCTTCTAGTACTGTCATAAAGAAACGGTCATGGTTGGACAACAGGATGATTCTCCCAGCCCGTTCGCAATGTCATCATAAGTTCTCCAAGACAATGTTCGGAACAATTCAGAGACCCGTCGCGCCATCCTTCGTTTTTAAGCCTCGCTTCATTTTCTCAACGAGGCTTGCTTTTCTACTGGCTGTTTTTCTTCGGAGTTCAGGTAAAACGTTGTGCACACTGTGTCTTTTGTTTCCATGCAGTATGGTGGAAGAATTCAATACTTTTCTATGCAGATGAGCAATACATACGTTCTAAGATCAATAGAATTGGTTGTACAAGGACTTTACATTGAAGGACACCGTTGGGGGGGAGGGAGGGGAAACCCGTGGCTTTGAGGACGGTCTGAAGTATATAAATCACCCAAAACCCACACAGCATCTTTCTTTTCCACACCTCAACATAGTCGAGTCAAGAATTCTCCATTTCATTACTCTTCATCATTAGGCTTCAATGGCTATCATTAGCATTGCTGCTGCATCTTCTACAACAATGATTTTCAATCCTGTCCCTCTCTTCGCCCTCGTCAGTATCGCCGCCGGCCTCGCTATAAATAATTTTTCTAATTTTTCTAATTTTTCTAATTTTTCTAATTTTCTAATTTTCTATTACAAGTTTATTTTTTAGATTATAAATTCTATATGCGACCTCATCCGAATCCGTCCGAATTCAAATGAGGTCGCATGAACAAAGTTGAGACAAATAATTAGCGGAGAATAAACACTTTTAATAATGGCTTTAGCATCGTCTCCATCACTACCTGAATATAAGAAACACGTGTTTCTTTAAGAAGCAGTCAATTCTACTTCTATTGTTCTCAAGACTTCACAGCATTTTGCAGCTTACATTAACACTTTTTCTCATTTCAAAGAAACAAACATGCTCACTACTTACACCATTCTCGGTGGAACTGGTGCAACAGGGTCAGAACTAATCTCATACCTCTTAAACCGACAACCCTTCGTCCACCTTAATATCTACGTGCGCTCCTCCTCAAAACTCTACACCCTCTTCCCCGACCTTCAAACCTCTCCCAACATCACAATCTTCACCGGCAGCATCGACGAAACCCCCGTTCTAGCTTCCTGTATTCGCTCCGCAACCGCAATCTTCTGCACCATCGCCCAAAACAAGAATGAACCGGACTGCTCCCTCTCCCAACGCACCGCCCACGCTGTGATCCTCGCCCTCACCCAGCTACGCTCCGAATCCGCCCACCCTGCCACCTATACCGCACCACCGCTCGTCTGGCCCTCCAGTGCGGCACTCAACCCTGCGTTCGAAAAGCGCATCCCTGCCGCGTTGCGAGCCGTTGCTCTGCGCGCGGCTTTCCATGTTCTGCAAGATTTGCGCCTCGCGGCTGAGTATTTGGGTGGGTTTGAGTGGAGCCCTGTGTCATTTTGGCAGCCCAGACCGATTGTGAAAGACGAGGCCAGGGGAGTCAGTCTTACGGCTGAGAAAAGGTTTGATCTTATTTCGTATGCGGATGTGGCAAGGGGGATTGTAAAGATTGTGGAGGAGGGTGATGGGATGTGGATTGGAAAGGAGGTTGGGTTTGTGGCGCTGGGAGGGAAGAAGGTTAAGAATCTTCCGCCGTCGACTTTTATATGGATATTAGCTGGGTTGTTGGGGTATTGTGTGCCATCATTGTGGTTGGCAGGAAGAAAAATAGGACTTTGATAATGCGCTGGATTCAGATAATGTCAGGGAGGTTAGTCTACTCAGTACACGTAGTACCGTCACGTCAACACGTGGAAATGCTAGTTGCATAAGGGTGGATAGTGATGATTACTATCGAATAAATTGTATAATCTAAAAGTAGGGACTTGAGGTGAGGGTTTTAATGTTCTGGGGTAGCTGATTAAGGATCACACAATTGGTTTCCCACGAATCGGAAATCTACTATACTCCTCAGTGCCATCAAAGATAATAGAGGTATAATGTAGTCCAAGAGGCCAGACGTTCAAAGGCCCTTTAATGGGTTTCCATAAACTAACAAACTGTGTAAGAAGAAGTCGTGTTATACCTCATCATAATAAACTAAACTTACTTCACAACCCACCAACGACCTCTTAAAATATTATTAACTCTATTTCTAAATAAAATACAAATAATCCGTTTTTCTTCCTCGGTCGTGAAA